TTCCTTATCCTATTTGAATGTGTATTTTTATTCCCCTTCCTCCACAGAATATTATGCTTACATATAACGTTTTTATGCTTTAGAGGCCTTTATTGCTCATCCTATAATGTTTCTCTGCAACAAACATACGCATGTAAATTGGAATTTTATACATTTTTTTACATTTCATGTGACTATAAGATTTAACTGTCAAGAGTTTTCTTTTGGACTGCATTATTAAAATTATTGGTATTACACAATTGATAGAAATAAAATAAGTATGTTAAAAATTATAATGGATCAATATTATATATCAAATTTTTCCTGGAAATGAAGTTTATAATGAGATGAATGAATACTTTTCCCCCTTCAGTTATTTTATATATACATGGTGAATATTAAATAATGCTAGAATGACACAGCCTTCAACATCAAGTCCACATCTTGTTTTCATTTTTATAAATGTAAGCACTGAGCCCCTGGTTCATTGCTTATAGCAACATCAACACCAATAAATATAATTGTCCCTTCAGCCCCAGATGGTTTTTTACCCTGGGGCAATGCAGTAGGAATGGGTAAAAATGATGCCTTTCCTTTGTCAAGTGGGAAAAGGTGATTGTAAAAGGGAAATCAATGTGAGGCCCAGATGGCAGGCAAGTTCTTAAGTAGATCAATTTTAGGATGGGGACCATAAGAAGATGATCTTGACCATGATTCCTTTAAACCTGCCCAAGCCTACATAAACCTTGGAAAGTCTTTGTGTGCCACAGTTCGAGGACCATTTATTCAATTTATGTAACTAATTTCTCTGGCTGATTTGCTTGCTCAGTAAGGAGCTCTCTGATTTTAATGTCACTAAAATATCCTTATGCCTATGAGTAATATGCAGATCACATTAACAGTAATAACTCAAATTGCACTTAATTTGATCCCCACCTGCCAACAAAACCTCTCATCCTTTGCAAATTCCACCCACCCCACCCCCAACCCAAGCTCCTGAGCAATGGCTCTTCAGAGTTCACAGATAAATCTATGAGACCAATTGTCTCTCACTGGGCATGGACATCATTGCATTGCAGCTGTGCATTTTACACTTTCACATAGTAAAATGTACTGGCAAGTATTGCGTTGCCAAGTAAGGATCTTTTAAAATACCATATATTATCACCATTGTTTAACTTGTACAAAAATATTTTAAATATTTTAGAACTATTTCTTATTATAAAACATTTGAGGCATATAAAATATATGTAATATATATGTAATATATGTGTAAGTTATCAGGGAAACGCTAAAATGAATACTCTTGAACCCATCACCCGACTTAAAAACTAAAACATTACCAGTAGCTTTATATCTACATGCTCTGTCTCCATCCCATTCCCTGTCTTTCTCCCAGAGATAGTCACTATCTTGAGTTTTGTTTTTAGTATTCTCTTTCTTTTAAATATAAACTTTTACTACATATGTGTATCCTAAACAATATATTTTTTAGATTCTCTTATTATTCAGCTTTATTAACATTATATATTCTATGTACTCCTCTGTAACTTGCTTTCTCAGTATTTCTAAGATTCAGCCATAATGTTATTACTGATATATAATATTTAATTGGGTAAATCACCATAATTTTTTTATCCATTCTCCTGAAATGAACATTTGAATCATTTAAATAATATTGCTATCACAAGCGATGTTGCTGGTATACACTTGCAAGAATTTCCCTAAGGATATATAAACCTAAGAGTAGAAATGCTGAGTATGCACATTTATAACTTTACAAGATAGTTCTGAATTTTTTTCAAAGTTATTGAACAAATTGACATCCCATCTACCAGTGAATAATATCCTTTTGACTTGTATCTTCACCAGTCCTTAGTATTATGAAACTTCTTAATATTTACCAATCTAGTAATTATAAAATATTATCTTTTTAGGGTCTTAATCTGTAAATTTCAAATTTCATATTTTATTTGCCATTTGGGTTTACTCTTCTACAATACACCTACTATAACTTTTGACCATTTCCCGCTGGATTTTTATTGATTTGTAAGAGTTCTTTATATATAATATGTATGTAAATAATTTTTCAGTGGTAAGTGATATATCTTGAATCTATATAACCTTTTTTACATAAGCTTGTCTCATTTAATTCTCAGTGTTCTGTGGGTCCTGTACATTTGCACGTTAAGTACTGATATTTTCTTCTTTTAGTAGCAATGCCTCATGTTTGTGTTGGATAACCAATTTACAGAATACTCTCACAAATTTTATCTCATATGAGCCTCCCAACAACTTTTAAAAAACAAGCTGGGTATTATTACACTTGTTTTGTAGATAAGAAGACTGAGTGGCTTGCTCAAGTTTATAGGGCTAATAAGTCCTCAGACTCTGCATTTCATATTCTCCTTATGATTATATGATGCTTCAATTGTTGGTAAATGATGACCTATTCATTCAAGCAAATGCTGCACTTCTGCATAACATCTTTACTGTAGTTCCTTCTTATTTTGTGTATGTAATTCAAAATACAGCCCTAGTCTGTGAAGTTCATTCTAAACTCATTACCTACAAGATAACAAATGAGTAAAGAAAGTGAATTTTTAAAATAGAATATACATTATTTTTTAAGAGAGTCTAGGAGAATGTTAAAAACCATAACAGTTACCTGTTTTGGAGCAAATCACATTTTTTAAAATAATGGATCGATCATGTAAGAGAACTGATTTCAAGTTCCATATTTTCTTTTGGCCTTTAGAGAGTTAAAAAGAGGAATAAAGAAAATAAGGAGAAGAAAAATATACTTTAACATTTATTAATATTATCTAAATTGGCTCTCCTATCTACATTAAATGCCAATTTTCTATTTAATTAGTTAATTATTAAATATTATCTATTTGTTATATTAAATATAACTAGCACCTATATAATTATATAAATATAATTATCATTATAATATAATAAATATAATTAGCATTAAATGTAGAACTTATAATGGGAAGTATTATTAGTAGGAGAGTAATTCTATCATATCACTCAACTTCCAGGAGAGGCTCCTGCACCTGAGCAGTTGGGTGAGCACCCACCTACTGTTGGAGCCCAAGGAGTGTGGGGTGTTGTCTCTTAAATGAGAGATGCCCAAATGTTATCTCTCAAACATTTGAAATGGTAAAAGGTAGTACCGTACTTTTTACTTTCTGGGAGTTGTTTCATTCATTCATTCTCAAGTTAATCAAACTACTGCATGTGAAATCTAATCGTTTGGTAGTTTCCATGGATTATTCTATTTTTATGTACATTATACACACCAGAGAAAACTGTTTGATGAAACTAGCAGTAACAAGAAAGGACTTGGAGATAAATAAGGAAACAGTATTCCTACTCTGAGTATTTTAATCACCACATAATAATTATATCTTAAGCACTTCCTGGGCACATCCTTTGATGAATAATAAGGAGATAGGACCAAATTATATCTTCTTCTCCAAAGAGAAAGGTTTTTTAATAGCAGCTGTCTATTCTACAGATAATTACTAAATATGACCTTTCCTGGATCTCTGTCATTGAGTATTATAAATAAATGCATCTGTAGTTACATACCTAGTATTTACTCATCAAATATTCCTACATCAGTGTCAAATTTAAAATTAGTCGGTTTGCTTGTTTCCATAAAATGATGGTTTCATTAAGTATTTTGAAGTGAGAGCTGTGTTATATGAAAAGTAATATATGTCTGATGATGAGCTCCCTGTGTGTAATTCTTTTATGAGTCAGGTTCTACTAGCCTCATGCAACTCACCTATAAATAGGGGATAATTATGTCACAAAGTGGTAAGCATAAGAGAGAGGTGGGTACTAGGTGAAGGGTACCTAACGACTCTGGAATTCAGATTTGTGTTTAGAGAGAATGAAATGAACTCTGTGTTGGTAATTTTGAGCTTTACCTATTTTATAGTTGTGTGTTAAGAATATGGGTTAATTCTAATAACCTGTACATTCTTAATGTAAGGGGAGGGTCGCTATTACCTGGGCAGCTTCTAGTGCCACCTGAAGGGCCTCAAAGAGGCAAATTGCCCATTCAGGAGGAAGGCACTTACAGTTTTAGAAGTGTATCTTCAAATAATGTACTTTTTAAAGGGCCTTGTGGTAAAATGGCCATATAATTTAATATCCATTATGGGACAAGTACAAGATGGGTGAGAAATTGAGATAACATATCTAAACAGAGACTGTCTCAGGCAAATAAAAAATATGGTCACCCTATTTATTGACGGTAGATTCTTCCTTCAGGATAAAAAATGTTAGAAGCGGAAGAGATGTCCTGTTGCCTCTTCAGAAGGAAGTCAGGATAGGTCAGGGACAATGGATTTTAAGGACCTTATAAGGGCCTAAAATATTTGGCACTACAATTTTGATTTTTAAAGATTCTGTATTTTCCCATTACGATTAATAACAGAACTCTTTGTAGCGGTCTTTAGGGACAGTAAGAAATAGGGCTCTGGGAAAATACCTCATTCTGCTGTCACCTTGGATGTTGGTGGGAAAGAAAGAGGTCTGCAAGAAAGAGCAGACTACTTGGGCAAAGGAGATCTGTAATTATGAAGAAACGGGGGCAGGAGAGCAGACATTGTGAAATGCCTGACATGGTATATCAGCCTGATCAATAAGGCCATGATCTGAGTGACCCTGGGTGACAATTCTGTGCTGTTTGAGATAGTAAGCGCTGAGAGCAGTGTCACTTGGGCCTTTGGGAGCGAGACCATAGGCTCCTGGCGGCACTGTGTAGTAGCCCAGCGACTGCACTCTTGGGTCGGCCGGCCCCCAAGTGCTTTGGAAAGCCGTCGGTGGGATGCAGGCAGAAGGCTCCCAAGTGCAAAGGACGTGCTTCGAAAACTACCAGCCTAAACCCTGAGCTGGGTCAGGTGCGCTCAGTGGCACACTTTCCCTACTTTCCCTA